AAAGTTTTAATAGTGGATTTTCCGGAATAAAATAATATAAACTATTATTTATTCAAAAATAAATTTCGCCTGAAATTACTCCTCACATTTTTTTAAAGCACAGTTTTTTGAAATTTCCCGTCCAAACACACAAGTGTTCTGAAGTCTTATAAATTGACCTATTGAAACCGACTGCGCTCATTCACTGAAGGATATTTTAAATTATATATCAATGTGAATTTATTGCATCATACAATTTCGTAAATGATTTTTTTTTTTTTTGGAAAATACACTTTGTTTTGACGTTATAGAAAAGTCGGTCTTATCAATTATTATGTTATTACCTCAAAGATTATCTCTGTATATTTAAGAGGAACTTGACAACCAACCGTTTATATAATTATCAATTATTGTAATTTAAAAAAAAATCGTGTAGCAAACAATGATAGTGTAAGTCTCGTGCAATATTGCACATTTGATTCCGTCAGAAATATGGAATTAAAAATAGCAAGCGCGGTTATGTCGGACCAATCCAGGACAGGGCACCCTATCTCTGGACATGAATATTTCTTTAACGGATAGTGGTTTGTTTGTAATCTCACAGATTTGTTTTTAAACAATAAAATGGACAAAGAAAACGCAAGTATGTACAAATAAAAATCAGTAATACAAAAAACAGTGTTTATCTGGCTATTAATTTTAATAAAACTGACACAATTTTATTCGTGCAAACTTTTTGTTGTTGGAATTAGCTGTATCGATACAACTTTTTTGCTGGACGTAGTTTGTTGGATTTTACAAAATTGACAACGAACGGTGTCAATTCGACACGGTAGACCACAGATAGTACACGTTCGTGCTCGAAACTGTTGTCAAAATCTCGGTGTCAAATTGACGACGTAATGTCCAAGTTGACCACAAAAAGTGGTTAGTAGCGTACCATTTTTTTTAAGCCTAAATTTTTCAATTATTAAACATTTTCGAAATATTTTTTCTTTTCAATTGGATTTTGTAAGAATTGTTACAAAATGTTGTCTTTTTACACAAAACTTCAGTAAAGGGGAGTGAATTGAGAAGCTATTTGAATTTTGTTTTACAGAGTTTTATTGTTTGAAAAATAATCTCTCTTATAGTACGTTTACATTGTACCGGATTTAGTAACCCAGTGGGTTTAATGTTGTCAGTGGGTTTTAATTGTCAATTTCATTGGATATATGTGAAATAAATCCTGATAAAGTAGGTTAACCCGGTAAAAATTTAAAAGTAAATTCCTTGTTACTCTCACAATGGAACTTTCTGAGTAATTATTACTGAAAAGGTACGCCATTGCATCGAAACTCTTTTATGTGAGAATAAAAAAATAATTGTGAACTTCAACATACCGGAAGTATTTATGACATCTTCCTGAAACGTTAAGCTATAGTGCATAATTTCTGGAAAAAGTTTTTTATTCACAGAAATAGATAAAAGATTGTGCAAAGTTTGGTTCAAATCAGACATTCCATTCGTCTTCAAAATTGATCTAGGCTTGGACCGATATTCACCATCTTCGAACTTGAACAAAGTTTGGAAGAAATATTAAGATGCGCACCAAAGAAACATGGCGTCTAAAACCAATATTTCGATGAGGCACATTTTCTCCGTATCAATATGTATATCATGGTACAATTATAAAAGGTAACAGCAAATCCCAGCTGATTTGATTCCAACGTAATACTAGTGTCAATATGAATATGAAAGTTTGGAAGAAATATTAAGATGCGCACCAAAGAAACATGGTACGTAGGTTAAGAAAAATATGCTGATTCGAAATCTGTTCACAAATTCGGTTGCTGCGCACGAAAGTTATAGTGGTTTTAAATCTTGTATTTCAAATATGAATTCCTATTTGTTGTAATACGCGAATTTCTTCACAAATGGATAAACAGATTTGTTTTCTTTGCATACTTGTCAAATCACATCGAAATACATATAAACATCGCGGAAAACAAATAGAAGCATGAAGATGTCTGAAAAAATTATTTATTTTTTTTTTATTAAGATTAAATGTTTATTTGAATTTTTGATTTTTTTAGTATGGTTAAGGAAATACGGTTTTGCCTTGATCTTCTAAAATATTCGACGCTTTCTTCAGCAAATTCATTAAGATGATTGTTAACCCTTTGACGTATATCCAGAAGTCTGACTCGTGGTACAATTTCTGTGCCTAACATGATTATGATTCGATTCTCATAATAATAATAAGAATAAAACTAGTTGATGCCGTGTACAACATTTAATCTAAAATAAATAGTTTTGTTACATGCATTCACATTTCTTAAGCATCAAAGCAAGCTATGTGCTAACAGTTGGAAGCGCACTTCGTTGCGCTAATTGATACGTCAAAGGGTTAAATATCGGTAAATTCATCTGATAAGAGTTTCGACGTTAAAAATGATTAAATATATTGCACTTACAATACATTAAAATGATCAATATTGAAAAGCAAGCAATTCGCGTATTCGTGGAAATCAGTTGTTGCGCATGCGGTATTCGTATAAACCGAATCAATCTCTTCCAATAATTATAAATATTTCGATGTTTCATTTAGCAGCCAAAGTGTGCCACTCAATGCACTTTACTATGCAAAAACCGTAAAAATGGCTAAAAATGAACCAACGTGCATAGGATTTTTTGCGCATCAGATTTCAGTAATCTCCAATGTAAATACACAAAAGTACATCTATTTTAAAAGAATTGGTGAAGAACCGCGGATGTGCCACCACAATCAATTTTGGATAAAATGGGTATATTATTCGCGAATTGATGCATTTTTGACCTATTTTTACACATATTCGCGAATATGATTACATACGCGTATTAGTCAAAATCAGTTTTTCCTACATTCAACGCGTTTTCCTCTTTGGTGAATGGCAGGCACGATAACTCAAAAACTAATGACCCAATCGATTCCAAATTTTTACACGTTTCTCTGTGAGTGTATAGCTATCGTATGAACTAGGATAAAGCCAATCGGTGAAGATTTTCCTTATTTTTTAACTTGGTTCTTGGTAAAAAATCGGCGATTTCCTAAAAATATTTTTTCAAAGGTCCGCCATTTTGTTAATTTTAGAGGTAAGTCAATAATCCTAGTTCATACGAGAGACAGACATGTGCTCTTTCTAACACCGTTGGACTTTTCGGATTCCGATGTTCCAGTGAGTAGTTATCATGCCCGCCATCAAAAATAAGGACTTTTCTTTAATTACAAAAAACAACAACAAAACAATAACAAAAATTTTTTGTAAATTATTTTTCTTCTCTTTTAAATCTTCAAATATATATTTGCAAAGTTACAAACATTAACAAGCATTGGTATTGATTTACCAGAGAACTTAAACATTGAATTTTATACATCATAAAGTTAATCATCCACATCATCATCATCTGCAGCCAATGATGGTCCGTATGACGATTTTTCAGGTTTTCCACTGTCAAAAAAGTGTAAACGTCGAAAACGTCCTATACCTGTATAAAATGTAGTAAAAGTCATTTATTTCAATATTATCACCATATACAGTAATTTTCAAGAACATATATTATTTTTACTGTATATCCGGCAATTCTTTACTAGAACTGATAACAAATTCTGAACTTTTTTGAGAAAAAAATTTTGAAATTCGATATGGATTTGAGTAAAGCATACGTTATTTCCAAATCGATAAATGTAAATAGCTATTTTTTCAAAAACCTAATGGTTTTGAGTGGGTTTCCGACATATGTATTATACGTCGGAAAAGTATGTCATTTACGTCACTGTTTCTGACAGGCCATCTCTGCCAACAGCATAACCAACTTCTGATAACTGCTCAATATGTAAAAGGGCATTTGGCACGATTATAAAAAACAACGTTCGAACTTGTATCTATAAAAAAATGATAACAAAAAACCCTTTCAAAAATCCCTTTTACCCGATTACTTGAAACTGCACAACACAATCACTATTTGTCAAAACAAAGAATATTATTAAAATAAACAACAACAAAATATTATTGTAATAAAGAATATTATTAAAAAAAATAACAACAATAATATACGGAAAAGAAGAGCACAAATAATTAGAAAAAATAACATGAAAAACAACAGCACCAGTCTCGAGATCAATGCGACTTTTAGCTAATTTAACATCTAAATCACCTCCAAACAAAATTTGATACTCAAATATTAACGAAGTATTCGCAAAATAACCTGAACTTCATGGTTCCATTGAAAAATGTTTAACTTTTACAATACTTTTTAAAATAAATAAAATTTTCAACGGGAAAGTTTTCTGCCTTTTTTGGCACAAAAATTTCTATAAAGTTTGACTTTGAAGTTTCACTACAAAAATACCAGACAACTTTTGACATTTATTTCAACGACAAGTGATGTAGAATTTTATATACTGTAACTGTAATCCAAGAAAACAGGCTATTCTAACCCACTGTGCGTTGTGCAGTTTAGCCACAAATCAGCAAGGAACACAAAAAATTACTTACTCTTAAATCTTCTCCCTCAATTTACGCTCGCTCGCTTACTGCAATTTTACATTTTGTAAAGATTTGTAAAATTTATTCAGTAATCGAACATACCTATTTCCTTGGAATAGCATTACAATCAACTTTGTAAGTCGGCTAATAGATGACGATCCGTTTTCACTTATAGTTATGGTTCACTTAAATTCACCTCAGAGTGAAATTTTGAAAATATATTATTTTTTTACGAAAGTTATAATCAGCACACTGATCGATCAATTTCAAGACATCAATCGTCCGTTTTAGTGAATCGATGATATATGTATATACATATATACGAATCGAGTATGCAAATGCAATTAAAAACTGCAAAAAATAACATCACCCATAGGGACAAACATGTGCCAGTGATTAATAAAAATCGAAAACAAGTGACGAAAGTGAAAACTAGATTATAAAAGAAGCTAATGGTTTATTTCGAATTGTCAGTTATTTACAGCGTATTGCCGGGATAGCAGCAATACAACCGTTTGAACTATGGCTCCACCCTACGTTTGTGTATCGGATTTTGAGGAAGAAGCCCATGACATTTTAGACAAAAAAGTAGTTGACTATTATCGGAGTGGTGCCGGTGAAGAAGTTTCATTGAATTTAAATCGTCAAGCATTTCGAAGGTAGCTACTTGATTTCTAGTTTGCGCTTCATAATGGATATTATTTGAAATGATATTAAGAAATATGAAATGCTGAATATGTGCGTGTGTGTGAATGCTTTTTATTAATTATTTTTGTCAACAATTTAAAATCTCCAGATTGCGCATACGTCCTCGTTGTCTGAGAGATGTTTCCTCCTTGGACACTACATGTGAAGTTTTGGGTTACAAATTAAAATGGCCTGTGGGTATTGCACCGTCCGCTATGCAAAAAATGGCTCATAATGATGGTGAGGTTGGTAATGCAACGGCTGCCGGTGAAATGGGTTCAATTTTTATTTTAAGCACATTATCCACAATACCGATTGAAGAAGTTGCCCTGAAGACTCCAGACACGTGTAAATGGTTCCAACTTTATGTCTACAAAGATCGGTAAGTGAGGGAACACATCCAGTTAAATGTGTAAATTTTTAAAATAGTCATGATACACAGTCTTGACTCAGGATAAATCAATAATTTCATGTATTTTCGAATGAGTTTATTGAATAATACAAATATCAAATCTAATAGAAGATACGTGAGACTATGCGTATACCTCACGGATTTATTGATTTGCTCTTGGTTATCTTTGTTTCTCTTATTTATAATTTAAACAAATTATATTTAAAATAAATAAATAAATTACTAAGTTTTCTATTTCTTTTTGTTCAAACAGCTCCCTTACTGAATCTCTTGTAAGACGTGTTGAGAAGGCCAATTTCAAAGCCCTTGTACTTACCATCGATTCTCCAGTTTTCGGTCAAAGATGGACAGACGCCAGAAACAAATTTAGCCTGCCAACTCATTTACAGTTGGCCAATTTCCAATCATCGGCATCGGATATGAGAACCACCAGTGAAGGTGGCATGTCAGCTGTACATGAATATGTTACGAATCAATTCGATGCTACCCTTACCTGGAAAGATGTTGAATGGCTGGTGAAGTTGACACATTTGCCTGTGGTGGCCAAAGGTGTCCTAACTGCCGAAGATGCTGTATTAGCTCGTGAATTTGGTTGTGCCGGAGTTATTGTCTCAAATCACGGTGCTCGACATTTGGATTCTATACCGGCCAGTATTGAGGCACTCCCAGAAGTTGTTCGGGCTGTGGGTAACGATATTACCGTCATGTTTGATGGTGGCATCCGACAAGGCAATGATATCTTTAAAGCTTTGGCGTTGGGCGCCAAAATGGTATTTGTGGGCAGAGCTGCACTGTGGGGTTTGGCTTGTGGTGGCACAGCAGGTGTTAAGGAAATGATGCGTGTGTTGAAACGTGATTTAGAAATAACAATGGCCCTGGCAGGATGTCAGACATTAAATGATATTCAGAGGAGAAATGTTGTGCATGAATGTGAATATGCTAAATTGTAATAATTTTAGTAAAAGTGGTTTAATATAGGAACAACAACAACAATTATATGTAATTAAGTTCGGTTTATGGGTTCCATAATAGTTTAAATATAATAAATAATCTATATAATGAAAAAAATAATCAAAGAATATGTTTTTTTAGGAGACTGGATAAAGCAAAATATATAAAATATGAAAATTTGGGAGAAAATTTTTATGGCAATCCAAAATACCAAATTGCAAACAATTCCGTTTTAAAACGTTTAATACCGTATAAGAAGGATACCATTATATGGGGGGCTATACCAGGAGTAGCAGCAATGCATTTCAAACTCATATCTTAAATATTACGAACTCTTTCTCAGGTTAGTTTTTCGAATCCCTCCAAAGACTTCAGGGAAACAAATTGTGGTGTACCACTCAGAATTGACCGTACATCGTTGATTAACAGTCGCCGCGTTATAAGTTTTACTGAAGAAACATGCGACCACTTGATTAGGAGTGCTTTTTCCACGAACAATTATCGTTGGATTTGGTTAGTCTTCAAAGACTCGCACGACCGAGCTCATACTTACGTATCCATGACTTTGAACTAGGCCTATCGTCTTGTGCGGGATCCAATGAGAACAGGTGAATGTTGGTGCAAGAAATGTCCAAGGATGTTTCCATCTCACGAATGTTCATCAATGTTCTGTGGCACAACAACAATTGTTTTGGACAACCTTTACGACTTTCCACTTTATGCGAACCAGTTTTTTGCAGTTATGAAAAAATAAGTACAATTTGTATAGATAAGCTTAAACAGGGAGTCTTAATAGCCAACCTAAACATGAAGTCTTCACAGGAGAGTTAAAGCAGGGACGAAATGAAGCAGGAAGTCTTCATATGCGATTTGGAGCAGAGGTCTTCCAAGACGAGCTGAAGCACGGATTCTTAATGGACAACCTAAACAGGGAGTCTTCAGAGGAGAGTTTATTCAGGGAGTCTTCATAGACGAACAGGAGGTGGGAGTTTTTATAGACGAGCTGAAGCTGGGAGTCTTCATAGATATGCTGATCCTGGGAGTCTTCATAGACAAGCTGATCATGGGAGTTTTCATAAATGAGCTGAAGTTTTGAGTCTTCATAGACGAGCATAACGGAATCTTCATATGCTAGCAAATGGGAATCTTTGTAGACGATCAGACGGAATACTTTTTAAGGTACAGTGAGTCGCAGTCAAAAGTATTCACTTGTTTTTTATAATAAAATGCCATGAATATTATGTACTATTCAATGAATTAAATTTTATACTTTTTTAAAGGCAAGATGAACATCTTAATTTAAAATTAATGCAATACAATAAGCAATATTTATGTGAACTCAATATAAAAAATGATGATTGTTATATTGCAATTGCTTTTGCAACCTCACAGGAAAAGTATACAAGATAGAAGTTTTTTTTGTATACAAACGGATTGCTTGGATTGATACTTTGGATACTTAGTATGATATCCCTTGTTATCTTTTACAGCTTTCAATCTTGTCAACATTGCATAGGTTTTACCAAGTTTTCCGTGTAAGATGTCTGAATTTTTCCCAATTCCACCTGTAAAGTATTTTTCAGATTTAATATGATTGAGATGTTATGGCTTTAAATATATTTCTACAAAATACTCCATAAGTTATATATGAGATTCAATTCGTGGGACTGGGGAGGTGCTTGCATCACTTTTGGACAATTATAAAGCATCCATGCTCGAACGATTTGTGACTTGAGTTTGGGGTCATTATGTTGATAAAATTGAAATGTTGTCCCCAATCCCAATTTTTCAGCACTTCATTTTAAATTAGCTTTTAGAATATTCGAATAATAAATCTTATCGATAACACTATGGTACAAAAAAAAACTATGATAGAGGCCTAGTACATCTTGTGTGCCTTAGTTAAACTGCATTTTTAGAATTTTCATTACACCCTTAAAATCTGAAGTTATGGCCAAAAAACCGTTTTTTGTGTTTTTGTAAACAATCTGCAATTTTATTTTACCAGGAAGAGGAAGAAAGGACTATCCAACGGTATTTTTGTTATATTGTTTTAATAAAAACTGATGAAACGGCAAATGAACGAAATTCAATTTTTCAACTTTTTTAAAATTCTCCAACTTTGAGGCAATTTTTGCGCCATTGTTTGTTCTTGTAACACATTCAAATAACAGCAAATTTAATTTCGCGTCGAATGAATTCTTGTTGATTTCAATTAGTTAAAAACTTCGCAAGCGGGCGCCATTTTAAGATTTTTACTGATAGGAAAATTTTTGAATATTCAACTTTTTTTCTTCTTTCGAAAAATATTTTTTTTTCATATGTCGCAAATTCTTAAAATAATCCCAACTTTGGTGTTGTTCATACAATTTTATCTAGTATCGGCGTAAAAATGAATTTACTAGCACCTTGAAATGTTGGCATTTTTAGGCGCACAAGATGTACTAGGACTTATAAAAGTTGTGACATTTTTTGTCGATTTGTACCATAGTGTAATTCCTGTAATAAAAAAGAGATTTCCTACTCCGATAGCGCTCATACAGCTCCATACCATTATTTGTCGAGTTGTACCATAGTGTAATTCCTGTAATAAAAAAGAGATTTCCTACTCCGGTAGCGCTCATACAGCTCCATACCATTATAGAGTCTCCACCGTGTAGGCTTTATTCGATCTGCGCCATACGTTACGTGGTCCATCCAATATTTTTTTTCTCTAATTCAATTTTCGGTTTTGTGCCTCAATATAATTTGTGCATAGCATATCGCATAATATTCAGCATTTCTGCCATTTTACGTTGAGATTTCCCTAGTTCAGCATGGAGAAGAACTTATTTTCTCTTGACAATTGTTGTGCGGCGTCCCATGCTCTCAAATTCTCACGATGCCAAATGCTTACATTAGAACTTTTTACCGGGTTAACCTACTTTGACATATCTACAATGGAATTGAAAATTTAAACCCACTGGGTTTACGAAACATTGAACGTACTTTTAAAAATTTACACATTTTCAACTACAAGTCATAATATTTAATTTTTTAAGTCTACTTTTTATGTTTTTGCCTTTGTTTAGACCACTTTTAACTTAAAAGTGGTTAAAATTTTAATTTAAAAAATTAATGATGTATTTTTTTTACTTAGATTTGTCAAAGAAATGTAGCCGATGAATTCATTGACAAATGGTAGTTAAAAGGGCGAGCCATTACCAAAGCGACCATCGTCAATCAAAAGCATTGTCGGTAGTTTGACAGGTTGTCGATGAATTCATCGACGTAGAGTCGATTGCCGTTACTACAGGGTTGTATAGCATAGGCGGGAGAGTAACATACAAATACCAATGTAAGTATTGTTACGAATATAACTTTAGATTTAAGTTAATTTAGATTAATTCCGTTAATTTAAGAATTTGAATTGTAACGTAAATTTCTACTATGCAGTTTATTTGAATAACTTCACAACAACAACTACTGTATAGATTTTTCTACATCCTTCCATTTCCTCTTTCATTTTCTATTTTGTTATTGTCGTGCAATTCTTGTTGAACGTCATCATTGATGATCGCTTAATTCCTCTTTCTTTGTTGCCCCCTCGCCTGTATATGTGTTGTTGTTATTGTTTACTCAATGTAAGTTTGTATGTGTGTTTGTTGCATTGGTAGATTGTTCGTGATCTAGGCGTTACCAGATCGTCTAGAAACTTCTGTAGCGACAAGCGAGGCTCATATAAATAGAGGAAATGGAAAGGCAGTTAGTCAGTTGTGAATCAGATCGCGAATTGAAACCGTCGTGTAAAGTAAAGTGCAAAGTAAAGTTGTGTGAATAAAATCATTGTAATAATCGTAATCCGAAAGAACCTGCGTTTTATTTAGTACGAACTGTGCTGGGAAATAAAACAACGTCTACACGGGATTTAGTAAATCCCAAGAACGTAACAATTGGTGTCGGAAGTGAGATTACGATAATACTACGATGAAATTTAAGGACCTACGAGTGGAAGACTTGAAGAAGGAGCTCAATAAATTGGAATTGTCCTCTACTGGCAACAAAGCTGAGCTACAAAAACGTCTGTTGGATGAGTTCGAACGCCGTGGTATGAACATCGATACATATGAGTTTGACAGTAAGGATGAAGTGGATTTATCGGAAATGGGCGAATCCAACGGTGGGGAAATCTCGTCAGTAGCTGCCAGGGTTGACGATCTCAGAGACATGCTGGCTAAAATGTTTGAGGAAAATTCCAGAAGGAGCGAAGAGAATTCCAGAAAGTTAGAAGAAAACACCAGACGAATGTTCGAAGAGAATGCCAGAAAGTTAGATGAAAATTCGAGAATAATGAACGAGAAACTCGAGAGCATTACAGAAGTTATTGGAAGGAGAGTGGAAACCGTGGAGGTCCAGATTAAAGAGTTGGATAAGAAAGTGCAGTCGGTTGACGAGAAGATTCTGTCTGTGGATGAGAAATTTCTGGTCCACGACCACAGGTTTACTAATCTGGGGAAGAAAATGTCGGAACTGGAAATTAAGGGTGGTCCGGTGCGAGTTCCTGATACCACACTAAAAATCAAACCTCCTGTATTCGACGGCTCTACGTCATTCAATGTTTTCAAGTTACAGTTCGAGACAGTGGCTTCTAGAAATTCGTGGAACGACAGCGACAAAGCGGTTGCATTACTTCTGGCATTGAAGGGCAGTGCTGCTGATGTTATACAGAGTATTCCTGTCGCTTCTAGGAATAACTATGAAGATGTTATTGCTGCACTGGAACGTAAGTACGGTGGCGAACATAAACAAAACATCTACCTTATGGAACTAAGGGGAAAAGTACAGAGGGCAAACGAGACGTTACAAGACTTTGCAGCTGAGGTGGAACGTTTGGTGCTAATGGCGTATCCAGGAGAGAATCACCCATTGCTGGACCGTATGAAAATCGAAACCTTTGTGAATGGCATACGTGACCCTGAGATTAAATGTGCAACATATGCGTCACCAAAAGCGTCGTTTGCCGAAACTGTGTCGTTTGCCCTAGCCCAAGAGACGGCCAGAATAATTGTTAAGCCCCAGACCCACAAGATTCGCCAACTGGAGACCGAAGGTTGCGAACCCAAATCTCTCCTTAACTCGATCAAGGACGCCATGAGGCAGGTAATCGAAGAAACAAAGTTAGTAGGGATGACTAAGCCCAGGATTAGGTGCTTCAACTGCGATAAAGCAGGTCATATTGCGCGCGAATGCAGAGTTAAGCGCAAACGATCTAGGTCGTTGTCACCACCTCCAACGAAAGATGGTAGAAGAATGGTTCAACAGTCCACCAATGAGCCACAGTTAAACAGGATCGAGCACAGAGAAGGCGGAAAACACGATAATGCTGATGCCCTGTCTCGTCGGCCATGCAAGGCAGAATACAGGCACTGCTCAAAGGCTGAGTGCAAAGAGAATATCGTTGATGTCCGACGATTGCAGTTTGAGTCGGGTGAAGATTGGTCGACGGAACAACGAAGAGATCCCATTCTGGGCAAAATAATTTCGGCCATGGAAACGGGCAAGCGACTTAGTCGCAAAGAAATTACCTCCGAAAGACCTCTTTTAAAATCCTATTGGGCCCAGTGGGACAGTCTACTTATAATAGATGGTTGTTTATATCGCAAATGGGAAAGTGAGGACGGTAAATCTCACCGGAACTTGATCGTCGTCCCCGACTCCAAAATAAGAGATGTCTTGTCGGAGTTTCACGATGGCCCAAGTGGAGGACATCTTGGCATAGCAAAAACCGCTGAAAAGGTAAAGCAGAGATTCTACTGGGTCGGCTGTCAAAAATCCATTGCCGACTGGATCGCCAATTGTGAAAGGTGCATAAGAGCTAAAGGTCCAACACGGAAGAGTCGAGGCTACATGCAGCAGTATAATTCAGGAGCCCCTTTTGAAAGAATCGCAATGGATGTAGCTGGACCGTTCCCCACAAGCGACTCTGGGAACCGGTATGTCTTAGTGGTCATGGATTACTTCAGTAAATGGCCAGAGGTTTATGCTATCCCAAATCAAGAAGCCAGGACAATTGTGGATGTGTTCAGCAAAAATTGGATTTGTCGCTATGGTGTTCCATCTGAGGTTCATTCCGATCAAGGTAGGAATTTTGAATCAGCGATCTTCAAGGAAATGTGTGACTCCTACGGAATCAAGAAAACCAGAACGACGCCCCTACATCCACAATCAGATGGCATGGTGGAAAGATTTAATCGCACCCTGGAAGAACATCTACGGAAAGTGGTGGACAGTGGCCAACGAGACTGGGATGAGCATATTCCAAAGTTTTTACTGGCTTATAGATCGGCCATTCATGATTCCACATCCCGGACTCCAGCCAAAGTTCTGTTCGGAAATGAGTTAAAGCTACCTGGCGATTTGATATTCGGTGCTACCCCAAACGACGATGTGAACCAAGATGAAGACAGTCAAAACTCTTTTAGCAAAGTCCACGATGCAGTTCGCCATTGAATAAAAATGGTTAGCAACCGCATGAAGGCAAGGTACGATCGAGCGGCAAATACCGATGGGTTCCAAGAAGGGCAACTGGTACTATTGTTCAACCCACAACGAAAAAAAGGACTATGCCCCAAATTGCAAACGCACTGGGAAGGACCCTACAAGATTGTCACGAAAATAAATGACGTCGTTTATCGCATCCAGAGGAGCGACAGTCCCAGGTCGAAGATGAAAGTTGTACATTTGGAGCGGCTGACCCCCTACGGAACGGGAACTGTGCCTATTCGGGACGAACAGGCTTAAGCGGGGGGCAATGTTACGAATATAACTTTAGATTTAAGTTAATTTAGATTAATTCCGTTAATTTAAGAATTTGAATTGTAACGTAAATTTCTACTACGCAGTTTATTTGAATAACTTCACAACAACAACTACTGTATAGATTTTTCTACATCCTTCCATTTCCTCTTTCATTTTCTATTTTGTTATTGTCGTGCAATTCTTGTTGAACGTCATCATTGATGATCGCTTAATTCCTCTTTCTTTGTTGCCCCCTCGCCTGTATATGTGTTGTTGTTATTGTTTACTCAATGTAAGTTTGTATGTGTGTTTGTTGCATTGGTAGATTGTTCGTGATCTAGGCGTTACCAGATCGTCTAGAAACTTCTGTAGCGACAAGCGAGGCTCATATAAATAGAGGAAATGGAAAGGCAGTTAGTCAGTTGTGAATCAGATCGCGAATTGAAACCGTCGTGTAAAGTAAAGTGCAAAGTAAAGTTGTGTGAATAAAATCATTGTAATAATCGTAATCTGAAAGAACCTGCGTTTTATTTAGTACGAACTGTGCTGGGAAATAAAACAACGTCTACACGGGATTTAGTAAAACCCAAGAACGTAACAGTATTATGAGCATCACTGCCCTACATTGTTGAATCTGTGTTATCCTTGTCTTTATTCACTGATATCACCAATGAATATACATTATTTTGCATACTTTTAGGCGTCTATACATCTAGAGAAATGAACACAATGAAGCGCGTAAAAATGCGTTGAGGTTTACGACGACACAGAAACTTCAAGACCCAACATATCGAATATGTAGGTTATAAATATCGAATAAAAATATTCACTATAAGTTTTTTTTCAATACTCCGAAAGTTTATATGTGTGTATTAACCATACAATCATACCTTTTTTTAATAAAAATGCTGTAAAATTTTCAAAAACTAAGATATTTTTATCAAATTTTGAGGTGTTTTTACTCATAATTGAAGAAAAAATTATAAATATGTTCCACATATATTTTTTTTTTATAAATTTTTAAAGTTCCACATTATTATAAAATTTTAAAGTTATTATGTACGTAGACCAATAACCATGGTACATTTGTACCCATCCAAATATAACGTTGTAACCAGGGATGGTCCGTGTGACGAATTTTTAGGTTTTAGACTGTCAAAAAGGTGTAAATGTCGAAAACGTCATATACCTGTATAAAAAGTAAAAAATATAGTAAATGTCAATTATTTCAATATTATCACCATATACAGTAATTATAAGAATTTATATTATTTTTACATATATCTGACTATTCCTTACTAGTACTGATACAGAGAAGAAAATTTTGAAATTGTATATGGATTTGAGTAAAGCATACACAATTTCCAAATTTATTAATGGAAATAGCTATTTTGTCAAAAACCTTAAGTTTTTTGGGTAGTTTTCCGACGATTCTGACGTATGTATTATACATCGGAAATGTATGTCATTTACGTACAGACCATCTCTGGTTGTAACTCATTAAAAAATGGGACAATCACGCGTTTTTTTTTGTAAATTAGTCTATACGGATCTGAGCTACACGTATACGTTAATGAAATATATATTAAAATGTATGTTTATATCATAATCTACATAAAACAATTATAGCTATTTCGTTACAGCTTTCGAATGGGTTAATACTTTGAGATTATTTTTTTATATTTTAAGCGTTTGTAAATTGTTTCTATAGTGATCTTATTTAGGTGTTCCCCAACCCCCTCTGTAAACCATTAGGGCGACTCGTAGAAGTCAGCAACCACCTTTGTTTTTTCTACCCACCAGATAGTTATTAAAAAAATTTAAATTTCTAAAAAACGCCTTATTTTTAAATATAACGACCTCATTTCAATAATTTGAGTCACCCTATATTATGTTCATATTAAATCTCCAAAACAATATTTCTAACACCAAAACAAATTCATATAGTTTTATACGTTTTTTGTTTATTAAACCGAAGCGATAAGAAGTACAGTATAATTTGTATAATTTCCTCAAATCTCTGCAATTATCTCTTCAAACCTTTAAATAAGAAAAAAAAACAGAATCTTGGGAAAATGATTATCTGTCATCCTCACAATAAATGTTCAGTCTTCATTTTGGTGTCAACAAGAACAGGCTATTTAGTGAATATGGCTCCGCCATTTGTTTGTGTAACTGATTTTGAAGAAGAGGCCCACAAGATCATAGATAAGAAGGCTCTAGATTATTATCGCAGCGGTGCCGGGGAGCAATTTTCATTGAACTTGAACCGAGAAGCATTTCGTAGGTAAAAAAATGGATTGGGAAATCTTACAACAATTATAAATGGATTAGATAAAATTGTAATTTTTAATACCTTACAGGCTGAGAATTCGCCCTCGTTGTTTGAGAGATGTTTCCAAATTGGATACCAGCTGCACTGTTCTGGGCCATCAGTTGAAATGGCCGGTCGGCATTGCTCCCACAGCTATGCAGAAAATGGCCCATAATGATGGCGAAGGTGGAAATGCAAAAGCGGCGGGTGAAATGGGCACCATTTTTATTCAGAGTACCCTTTCGACGATGTCAATTGAAGAGGTCGCACAAACTGCTCCAGATACCATCAAATGGTTTCAACTCTATGTCTACAAGGATCGGTGAGTTTTCTATACACTGGGGTTTTTATGTTCACTTTAATATTTACTTGTATTCCATTTTAGTTCCCTAACTGAACAAATTCTACGACGTGTTGAAAAGGCCAACTTCAAAGCTGTTGTGCTTACCATTGATGCACCCATTTTTGGTCAACGCTGGGCTGATGTTCGCAATAACTTTAGTCTGCCTTCGCATTTGCGTTTGGCAAACTTCGATACACGCTCCAGCCAATCCGATGGTGTCCACAGTGAAGAAGGCACATCGGGAATCAATGAATATGTTGCCAGTCAATTTGATGCCACCCTCACCTGGAAAGATGTTGAATGGCTGGTGAAGAGCACCTATCTTCCGGTTATTGTTAAAGGTGTCCTAACCGCCGAAGATGCCATTCTGGCACGTGAATTTGGTTGTGCTGGTGTTATTGTTTCAAATCACGGAGCCCGACAACTCGACTATGTACCGGCCAGTATTGAAGCTCTACCCGAAGTCGTTAAAGCTGTCGGGGATGATATTGCTGTTATGCTGGACGGTGGCGTACGTCATGGTAATGATGTGTTTAAGGCTTTAGCTTTGGGTGCTAAGATGGTGTTTGTTGGACGCCCCGCTGTATGGGGTCTTGGTTGTGGTGGATCAGCTGGTGTAAAGGAAATGTTAAAGGTATTGAAGAGAGACTTTGAAATTACCATGGCTTTGGCAGGTTGTCAAAAACTAAAGGACATTCAGAAAAATATGGTAGTACATGAATCGCAATATGCAAAATTGTAAATGTGTGTGTAAATAATTTGAAAAATAAAAGATGTACATATATAACTTTGCTTGGATCCAGTACTTTGTTAGTAGTAAAATAGTGAAAAGGTGCAAAATGTCAATGATTGACAAATAGCTGGGCTACAGTGAACCACAGTCAAAAGTATCCACTTGGTTTTTTTTCATTATAAAAATGGCATAATGAATAAAATTTTATATTTTTTTATATATGCACATGAACATCCCAAATTCAAATTAATAGAATAAAAAAGCCAATATTTATATAAATTCAATATAAAAAATAATTATTGATACACAAAACCAATATTAGCCTCACAGTGAAAATTGTCCACCAGTATTATTTACAACTTAATAACGGTTAAAAGTTACTTCAGTAAATTTTTTATACTTTATGCGTATTTGGATAGCCATCGTAAGAATTTGAGACCATAGGACGCAACGAAAATTTGTTCTTCACTATGCTGACTATCTCAATGGGAAATAGCGGAAATATGCAATATTGCTCGAGCAGCTGTCAAAAAAATTATATTGAGGCACAAAACCGAAAATCGAATTTGCAATAAGCCGAAAACCAGCGAGAAAAATATATTCAATATAAAAGACGAAAAGTGGCTGCTCCGTGAAGTGGCCCAAAATCCAAAGCCAAGTGCACCTAAAATTGCCGAAATCGCAGAGAAATATCTGGAAAAGGAATGCAACCCAGAAACAATTCGAAGAATTTTGCTTATGTCAGGTCTTCATGGGAGAGTTGCACTGAAAAGGTCATTCATAAACCCCAAAACCCGGAAAATCCGATTGGAATTCGAACAGAAACTTAAAAAAAGTATTTTTGGATTTTGGAAAAATGTTATTTTTGCTGATGAAAGCAATTTTAACTTGTTTGGGTCGGATGGATCAAGTAAGATATGGATCCTAAGCACATAATTCCGAAGGTAAAGCACGGAGGAGGCTCTGTAATGGTATGGGGCTGTATAAGATCTCTCGTTTTTATTGAAGGAATTATAAATAAGATTTATTATAACACAATTGTAGTGCTGAAAAATTGAAATTGGGGGCAATATTTCAATTTTATCACGATAATGACCCCAAACACAAGTCCAAGATCGTTGCAGAATGGATGCTTTTTAGTTGTCCAAAAGTGATTCAAAAAGATCCTCAGTCCCCGGAATTGTATCACATAGAGAACTTATGGAGTATTTTGGAAAAAAATATTAGAAGCCATAACATCTCAAGCACTCCAAGTCTGAAATATGTTTTTCAAGTAGAATAGGGAAAAATTCAGACATCGTACACGGAATACTTCGTAAAATCTATATCGGCAATATTGAAAGCTGTAAGTATAGGATTTTAAACAAAATAGCGTTATTTTGAATTAGCCGCTATTTCAGTTGCTGCCTGTTTTGAAAATTGTAGTCTTAGAAATATTACTCAAAGTCCATGAAGACACAAAAGGCGGATTAAAAATAAAAATCGAGAAACTCAACTTGCCTATCTGATACTACCCCATTCTCGGTTTCAAAAAAATTAATTTTGTCATTTTTTATTTAATTCGAACCTACACAAACTCAAGAATGTCCCAATAAAATTCCAAGTGAAAATCTCAACAACTCTTGAAGGTATAGCCGATTATTTGTGGCAGCATCAAGAGTGACTCCCAAGCTTTAAACGCGTTTTTCTCGAAACAGTGTTTTTACAACTGATTGACACTTACAAAACCGAGGACTCTGTACAAATGTTTTGATAATCAGAAAATACAAATCTATCGTGCTTGAATATCTCAACTAAGTACTTTTCGAAAGTAAGTACATATAACATGTCTCCTTTCAGTTGGAATTCTCTGTCTAATACCCACAAACTGAAGCTGTCATATGGTGTTCATTAAATCCTATTAAAAATAAAATAAAAACGTATGAAGTGCAGATTATTTAAATTTATTTCAATATTAATAGGCCAGTGAACATTCCACTATTGCACACGAAACCTACTTATACCACTATTATGTTCACCATAATGGTTTCTTGGGTCAGCCAGCAATTGAGTATGTGTGGTGTAGCCCGTTCAATAGATTTAAGAGGGTTATATACAAATTACTAAACCGATACGAAGTAGAAAAGTACATATTAAAATATAATATATGAAAATCGATACAAAATTAACCGTATTGGTGGAATTAAAAATTACAACAGTATTTTTATATCGTCGAGGAATCCGATATGGCGGAGGCATCGGTCCCAAATCTATAGCCTACATTTCCAAAGTCCATAAATGTGTTTTCGATATGTCTTTGTCAATTTTCCTTAGTTCTTTCATTTTACAAATATAATATAAAGCGAACACTAATCGTATGCCCATATGCTTTTTAACCGACCCCACATTTTATGATTCATGAATATCATGTGAACGAACATAGTGTACATTATTGTTGCTGCTGCTGTTGTTGTTGTTAAATTGTCGGTCGGCCGGTTGCTGGGCATTCCGGCATTCTGTTGTAGACTTAAATTTAATTGATTGCAATCCAAATGTTAGAATGTGAAAAGTCATTAAGGAAAATTACTGTGCAAATGTCCTGGCAAATGAACCAAACATGTACGAGTATGTGTATGTTATTAATTGCGAACTGTGAAGACATCCTTGATTATGTCCAAGGACATTATACGCATAAGTTCGAGTAAACGTTTTAACAACAATTAAAAGTTCATTAAGGAAGGATGTTTTGCTATTGAAGAATAATGAATAATGTGATAGGCCTGCAGGTCGGTCATTTATGCAAATATCTGCCAAACACTTGTCCGGTCATTGTGTGAGAGAATATCGATGCAAATTTCCCAAAGATAGTTATTAATCGAAAAATAATAGATATTTTAAGATAATAATCGAATTAATAGTAAACAAATATTGTATAAATTTTGAATGACACATCATTAATAGATACAAATATGTGAAAGTTACTAATATAATTAATGAGAATACATAAATAATTTGTGTATGTCCAGTTTTATGGAAGAAGATAAAATTTTATCTAGACTAACACATAAATCAAAATGCATAGTTGAAATCAAAATGCATAATATTCACGTAATATTAAGAGGACTCAACCATTCTGGCTGATTTGCCCGCCTCCAACTTGTATAAATCTTGGGGTAAATCTTCTCTATTGTTTTATACGTCCCGCGGCAATATCTAATTTTTTATAATTTGTTGTTTTCTATTTTTTTTTACTATTTGTAGAGTTTGAGTTTAGAAGAGAAATAAACCATTTATATAAAATACATAATAAATTATATATACCACACAATGAGTCACAGTCAAAAGTATCCATTTGGGTTTTTATAATAAAAATGCCAGTAGTCCGTGTTAGTCAATTAATTTAATGTTATAATTTTTTATATGCGAACATGAACATCTTAACTTAAAATTAATGCAATAAAATAAACAATAATTATCTGAATTCAGCACAAAAAAAAAATAATGATTGTTGAACATAAGCAATTGCAACCTCACAGTGAAAAGTATCCCAGATAAAAGTTTTTTTTTTTAACAAACGAAATTTTTGGATGGTTAATACTTAGTATGATATTCCCATGTAACCTTTTACAACTTTCAAACTTGCCGGCATAGATTTCACCAAGTTTCCGTGCAAAATATCTGATTTTTTCCCCATTCTACTTTTTTCTACATTTTTCAGACTTAGTATGTTTGAGTTATTATGGCTTCTAATATTTTTCTCCAAAAATAAGTTCTCTATATGATTCAAATCCATCCATTCTCGAACTTGTGTATGGGTTCATTATCTTGATAAAATTGAAAGGTTGTCCTGTCTTTTAGAATGTTTAAATAATAAATCTTATCCATAATTTCTTCAATTAAAACGAGATTTCCTTCTCCGGCAGTGCACTTACAGCACCATACCATTTCGAGGGCAGTTCGGAAAGTTCTTAGCCTAGCACAAAAAACGCGGTATAAACAGAAAAAAGTTAAGTATTTTGGAAACTTCCATCTCGCATGCGCAAATGTTTGCAATGAAAGCATGCATTTCTAATTTTTCCATTGTAAAAAATTGCGGATCGGTCTTCTTTTGAACGCCTGTTTCTCTATGAATGAGCCCTCGTACATAGCCTCCTCCGTGCTTTACGTGCACCAAAGAATCCATGTCTGCCCGATTGGCACGCAACTTTCATAAATATCAGAATGGTATGTGTATGGTTTTTTAACGATTAAAATATCTATGTATGTAGGTCACACACTTAATTTCGTCCGATTCCATTTCAATGGTCCTCCGAAGATGCTAAGTCTGTTTTGTATACAGAAAATTGTACATATTACCAAATCTTGAATGTACCTAAAGTGGTGAAGGGTATCATATAGCCGACTCCTACTGACTTTTGAATTTCCTTACTGGTTTTATATTGAATTTATATACATTTTGGCTATTTTATTTCATTAATTTTTAATTAGAATGTTCAGGTTCATTAATTAACTCGCACTATGCCATTTTTTATAATGAAAAAAGAAAAACAAGTGGATACTTTTGACTATGACACACTATATATAAACCATTTTTTAATACAAATATTGACTACTTATATTTATAAAGTCAGCTCACATTTTGCACAATTTGTTATCCCATTCTTTCCCACCCATTTTATTCTGACTATATTTTCGCATAGCGAATTTCTTTCACTTTCGAAAAAGAGAAATTGTACACAACTCAATTTGGTGTTATCAAAATCCCACTTTGACTATAGCTCTAGTCCACCTGTCATATTATCTGATATCGTGACTAGAAATTTACCGCTTACCAACACGACCTTAATTCGATGTTTGCTAAATTCCACGAGATAATTCCAAGGTATTTCGAGTTCCTGAGAAACACCATGCAATACTGACATTGTTCGATTCATGGCAAAGAGAACTAATTCTGTCTTCGTGGAGTCCAATTTTGACAGTATCTCTAGTCCACCTTGCATATCGTAACTAGAAATTTACCACTTATCAAC